CCACTGCAGCGCCGAGATCAGACCAAAGGCCCATCTACTCCAGCATACTGTTTCTAATAGAAGTCAACAGGAAGCCACCTAGAAGTACATAAACAGGGCATGAAGCCAGTGGGTCTCCCTTTGTTGTTGGTCCACTATAACTGTAGTAGTGTAGAGGTACATTGCCCGTCGATATGGAGGTTCTGTTTCATAGTAGTTATGGTGATAGACCCCCAAGAAATTTGTTCCATCTCCTTTTGAAACCATTCCTGGGCTGGCCTTAGGCAGTGCAGCAGAATGAAATGCTAGTATGATGAGGTGCGAAAGTGGGCTACAGGTGGGAGATCATGTTTTTGAATGCTTCCCTATATTGATAAAGGTAAAGATAAAGCAGGGGTCATTTCGTAGAAAAAGAGCTAGGGGGACTCATTAGCATAACTCATTAGCATATGCCACACCCTCTGACATCATCGGAAGTGTGTCCTCCCCACAGCCGGCGGCGACCTCCAGCGGGCACCAGCAGGGAGCTCCAGGCCCCGCCCTCCCGCACCTCACCCGGGGGGATGGCGTCCCCCCGCGTCCCCCCCCAAATGACCCCTGAGATAAAGGTTCCCTTGCTCGAAAGCCAGTCGAATCCGACTCTAGGGTTGCGGTGCTCATCTCCGTTTCAAAGCCGAAGAGTCAGCGCTGTCCGAAGACGTTTCCGTGGTCATGTGGCCGGCATGACTAAACACCAAGGCGCACGGAACGCTATATTGATAGGCCCCTTGAAAATAGAAAACCAGCACTGCAGGCAAAAGGCTGAACTTGAGCCTTCCTTCCTGGCAGACTGGTGGTTTCGCTTGTACAAGGAGTCTTTAATGGGGGCGGATTTTCAAATATGGTGTGCCCCCCCCCATCAACTGCTGTCATCACCTAATTTTTTTTTTTCACATGGAGACCTGGCATAAGATAAGACGGTTTTATCACAAGGCACATGTGCAGAGCTTGGGAGGACATAAAAGAACATCTCCTGCTTAGCATGGCATATATGCCTTCCACATTGATTAGCAGAAGCAAAATACATTATGCCGTGTATAAATATTATGCAAATTAAGCAAATTTACATTTATCTGCAGTTTTGGAAAAAATTTAACTGTGTGGTATACACATGGCTCTCTTTATGATTTTGTAGGTTTGTGGCCATTTTTTTAAAATCACCAATTGTATTCCCTTCCCAACAAACACTGGTAGCTCCCCAAAGGCCCCCCCTTTAGAGACAATGCCACCTGTTTTGGTGCAGAACAATACTTCTGTGAAAGACCATCACATTTAAGCTTCTCTGAGGGCCCAGCTGGCATGGTGCTACTAGGAGAGCCATGATCAGACCTTGTCAGTGGTTTAAATGTACACAGTAGCCATACAGCGTCTTAATTCTGGGCGGGGGGTAGAGAACAGGGGGTTTAACTCTCTCCCTGTTTTCTGAATAAAGAAACCTCCCCTGCCTATTAGCCCTGGGAGAGAGAAAAAGACAGGCACCGTCTTTGCCTGTCTTCTTTTTTCTTTGGTGAAACTGTGCAAGGAGGAAAAGGGGTAAACCTCCTTTCCCCTGTGCTTCATCCCGGATCTGAATTGGTGCCCTGCCCATCTGCTATTTGCCCTTTTAAAATGTTGGGAAGATTCCATCACAGATCTTCCAATGATTTATCTAGCTGATC